GGGCTGCTGGCATCGCCTGGAAAGCAACAGAGATAAGGAAAGACACAGGTTGACGCCAGGAGCTATGAGCTCCGTCTTCACCTAACAGAGGGCTTTCAGGGCTTACCAGGTCCAGAGGACCATTAGGTGGAGCTACTGATTTCTGGGAGTAGAGGATAGAACACGGTTCTGCCATATTAGACTCCACACCTCTGTGGTTCATGTGCTTTCTGTTAGTGTCTCTGAGCTTACTGAATGCTCTTTATACATACAATTCATGTCATCAAAAATCAGTGTGTCTGAAGGTATTGAAATCTTTTAAAATAAAGTCAATATTTCTCAGAAAGACTCCAGTCACCCCAATGGATAAATGATCTGGCTTCCTCAAAGGTCACTTTATGCTTACTAATATCACATCAACCAGATATAGGGTGACCACGTAGGGTGATCCCAAAGAGGACACTTCTGAGAGTGAATGGGGGCCCTATTAGGACCCTAGAACAACAGGCAAAACTAGATGTGGCCAGCAAGCCAGAGCATGTGGTCACCCTGGTCAGAGAGGACGTGAGCAGTGCCGCCATCAGTCCCTGGCCAGAGAGGACGTGAGCAGTGCCGCCATCAGAGAGGACGTGAGCAGTGCCGCCATCAGCCCCTGGCCAGAGAGGACATGAGCAGTGCCGCCATCAGAGAGGATGTGAGCAGTGCCGCCATCAGCCCCTGGTCAGAGAGGACGTGAGCAGTGCCAGCCTCTCGTCAGAGAGGATGTGAGCAGTGCCACCATCACCCGCTCATCAGAGGGGACGTGAGCAGTGCCACCATCAGCCAGACGTGCCCCAGTGGAAAGACATCTGGCTTCTTGCAGAGTGGCATATACTTTCTTGAAGAAAAATAGTTTCCAAACGCAGGTCTGTGGTTTTTAAGTCTTTAAATACTTCCCATGTTATTATTAGTTTATGCCATTAAGCCGATCTAAGATGAACAGAAAAGGGCAGTAAAAAGACAGGTTGCAAAGTTTAAATTTCCAGTGTCCTTCATCCAAGGAAGTCCTTTAAATGTGGATTAAGTTATCACTTAGTCAGAATTTAAGTATGCTTTTCCTATTTAGTTACAATTTAGGGCAGAGTTATAAGTATGATCTTAGAAATAATGACAAATAATTCTCAAAATAGATGTTTTAGGCAATAGAGAACAGTCATTTTAATAAAATTTAATCCAAGCATCAAAAATGGATGAATCTATATTGTTAGTTGCTTTCAAGCCGTCTTCTGTCTGGCTCCCTAGAGGGAGCTAACTTAACTTGAAAAGATCGGAGATGTTGACTCGGATATGTGTTCCCAGGGACGTCAGAGCAGAATGATATCATTCAGAAGGAAACTTGTCTCTGATATCTGTAAATGGTGAGATCTACAAAGCCTTCTTCATAAGGAAGCTCTTATAAACCAGGTCAGTCTTCAAAACCTGATTCTCATCAAAAACCGGTGGTCAGGATCTAGTTGCTTGTGGGGAAAATCCTGGGTCTGGCATTCTCTCAGCGTCCCAAGCTCAGCTCAGTCCCATCCTGGGGAGCCAGATGCAGGGGCCACAGGTCCCTAACAAGGGAGAAATCACGGGCTGCAACAAACACTTACAGATGTCTGTAGACATTCCACTATGTACTACTGGGAAGAAAATCTCATTTCATACAAGCTGGGAATTTGGTCTCTGCCCTGAGAAAGGCGGGTTCTCTGATTCAGTGGATAGAAAAAAAACATAGGTGCTCTGTCTGGACAGGAGCAGAAGCTGGAGGAAAACCCAGCTCATAGCAGTGAGGACGCCTTAACTGTGTGAAAGCCAGTGCCTCATGCATTTGATCTCGACTGTCACAGCAGCGCTGTGGTGGAGAGGGCAAACTTTCACCAAACGCTTCCCTTGCTCTGGGCACACAACACAGAACACACTTCCTGGCAGCCTTTGCAGCCCTGCACCATGTGATTGCTCTCCAGCCATGGACTGGGAATGAAGCTGACGCGTGCTGAGTGACCTCAGGCAGGCCTTCTACGCTCCCTCCCTTCCACTGTCTGCAGCCAAGGGCATCCAGGAGCTGAGCCTTGGGGATGGCAGGGACTGTCAGCCTGGATCTGTCAGAGCTGCAGAGAGCACCTTCCACTTCTCACCTCCATAGACTGAGCTTCCCTGAGTAAGGAATAAAATTCTAAGGTGTTAAATCATGCCACGGAGAAGATGAGGTTGATCTATTATAGCAGCTAGCTTTATCTTAGCTGATAAAAACAGCATGTGGTTAGGTGACACTGGCTGGGGGGGGGGGACACAGTTGTGCGTGGCCTGCCTTGAACCTAGGCCATGCCAGGTCTCCAGCCTGCACCTATCATGTAGGGCCACAGCCTTCCCACTGGGGAGCCTTCTGTCTCCATTTCACCACCAAGGAAAACATGGCCAAGTAAGTTGCCTAAGATTAAGCTGGAAAGGATCACAGGCAGGATTTGAACCTGGGTCCACCCAGATCCAAAGCTGAGTTACTTTGTTAAAACAGCCACCAGCTGCCCTGGCCCAGGTGCAGTGCTCCATTCATGCGGCAGCCATGTCCTGCTGCTTCTCACCCTCCAGTTCAAGAATCAGCATGACAGAAGTAGTGACCCCAGCAGTTTGTTGGGGTGCTCCTGCCTGCTCCCTCCCATCCTGAATCAGGATGCCCTCCCTCCCCAAGGATGACTGCACTCTCCCCAGTGAGTAGCAGCTGCTTCAGAGGACCACTCACCCCTCAGCCCCACCACACAGCAGCTTAGCCTCCCCACCCCACTGCAGCCTCTGCATCTCTGCACCGCCATCCTGCCCTCCCTGCACCTGCTGGCAGAAGCCCCAGGGCAGCACCCCTGACAGCTGGTGTGTCTGCACCAGCCCAGCGTTTCCAGCCTCCCACCAAAGTGGCTGGCTCTCCTGCTGGCAGCCCTGCCTGCTGTCCCTGCTCCTCTCCTGCACCTCCCAGGTAAGTGCCTTGTGCTGCGATCTTTTCCTCAGTTTGCTTCTAGGGAAACAAACTAAGACATGCCATCTGCCGAGGCATGGCCCTGGGCCTGATGGGCTCCAAGACCGCCCTATCTCCCCTCATCCAGGTTCACCTGTGGACATCCCAGCTGCTCTGATCTGTTCAACTTAGTTCAAGAAATGTTTCCGGCGCCCCTGCGGCGGCTGGCCCCGGAAATACAGAAGCGACTCAGCAGGGTCTGCGCCTGAACACAGCCCAAGCCTAATGGGAGAGGCAGGCACAGGGAGAAGAGAGTCCGACCTCAGGCGGTGGGTGCACTGACCGCCGTTTTCAACTCACTGAGCCCCTGATCTGCGCCAAGGTCACACAGTGTCCCTGCGCACCAGGATGGAAAACAAAGAAACACACCCTGCCCTCCAGAGCTATGATTTCACGGGGGACAGCCAGCCACACAACATGTCAGATGCCGTCGCTGCTGCAGGACATGCGGGAAATTCGGGCGACTCCCAGGATTGAGGCCTGAACACGGGGAAAGATGCAGATGCCGAGTTGCCTTCATATCTGCGTAAGATGCAAAGTGCACAGCTGGGAACTCAGGGAAGAAGAGCCGGGAAGGAAAGTCTTGATGAATTTAAATTTTTTAAAAGTCATAACAAGATTTAAAACACTAATTTTATTATCCTGTTCAATTGCTCAGAATTCCCCATGAGCCAGTCTGTGAAATGGAATTTTCACAATTGTGTCCCAGCTGCTATGGAAAGCACAGTGGCTGCCCTGTTGGAGGTGGGTCGAATGTGTGGCCTCTTCCCTCCGATGTCTGGGCGATTCACTTCTTCCTTGCTTTACCTCTGCCATGGCAATTTTAGTAACCACGTCTCTGGGTGGCTGCAGGAACATGTTAAGGCCTGATGGGGACACACTGGTCAGGCAAGATGTGTTAGCTCCTCCCTCTTCTCTCTCTCTGCACTGTGGGAGACTCCCTAATGCACTTCTAACAAAAATGTGAGCCTGGCCCGGCGTGGTGGCTCAGGCCTGTAATCCCAGCACTGTGGGAGGCTGAGGCAGACAATCAACTGAGGTCAGAAGTTCAAGACTAGCCTGGCCAGCATGGAGAAACCCCGTCTCTACTAAAAAAATAATTCAAAAAATAGCTGGGTGCTGTAGTGCACACCTATAATCCCAGCTACTCAGGAGGCTGAGGTGGAAGAATCACTTGAACCCGGGAGGCGGAGGTTGCAGTGAGCCAAGATCACACCACTGCCCTGCAGCCTGGGAGACAGAACAACACACCATTTCAAAAGAATAAAGTGAACCTGAAAGGCCCACTGTGGTTTGAGGGTGAGGCATCCTCCCTGCCCTGTCACCTACCGGACTCGGGACCCGCTGATGCACACGGTCTGAGACACCCAGCACATTAGGTTGTGTGCTCTCCCATGGGTGGTGGGGTGCCCCAACCTGGCCCACCTGCTGTCTGCAAGCTGGAGGTGACCACCTGAGCACCAATCAGAATGTGTGCTCCCAGGTGTCCCCTCCTCAGGGCCTAGCCTCACTCTAGGCTTATTGAGAATGAGGGCAAGACAATTCCCAGCCCCTGAGGACATCAGGATTGAATAGGACAAGCACACTGCATCCACTCACAGAGACACCCATGCTGAGTGAGTGATATTCCAGGCCACGCCTTCTTCCTGTCCCAGTCCCCTCCTCCCTGCTTCCTGATGGGAGAACAAGGCAGATTTGAGAGACGCCCTTCCTGAGGCTGCACTGGTGCAGGAGGACTCTGCCCCTGTGCAAACACTCATGGCCCCCTCTGTGCATCATTGAGGACTACATTCAGCTGCACGCAAAAGAAAAGCCAACTGACAGTGGCCTGCACCTATCCGGGAGATGGTATCGAAAACGCAGCAAAGGCCAAAGGAGGCAGTCCCAGGTGGGCGCTCACACTGGCTTCACTCCCCTTTCTTTGGCCACAGACAGCTGATCTCCTGTCCTCTTGTTTGTCTAGCAAGAGAGAGGGAAGCAAAGAAGGAACGTGCCTCGGCCACAAAAGCAAAAGCTTTGCCTGAAACCGTGAGATGGTAACTCTTCACCAGACTGTGTCAACGTGCAGATGCACAGAGGCCGAGGAAGGGAGGTTTCTGTCTGGGCATGGTGACACCCAAACAAAGTCAGGATTCCATTCCTAAGGAAGAAGGGAGGTGGATGTTAGAAGGACAAATAGCCAGTCCAGGAGTTTAAAGTCCCTGAGTTGTTTTCCAGAAAACCGGACCCCCACCAAACAGATCTGTGGCACACAGACCTCTGATGAGGGGGAACCAAAGACTGAACTCTGGACCGCCATTCTTTGTTCTAAGTTTCTTCCTGAGGGCCTGGAGGGAGTCACACGAGCCAGAGCTAACATCCTTTCCTGATGACCCCAAATCTATAAACAAAGCTGCTTTTCATTAACTAATTGCAAATCAGAAAATCTTTAAATCTACCTATGACCTGTAAGCCCCAACTCTACCAAAAAAAAAAAATTAGCCAGGTGTGATAGTGCACAGCTGTAGTCCCCGTTGCCTGTATGTCCCACCCCCAGAGTTTCTAAGAACCTGCTAATGTTTGTTTATAGTTCACTGCCATGTGTCTCTCACTCCCATATGTATGAATTTTCCCAGTGTTAAAGGATCCATTGCCCCTACCAACCAACCCAAGCACAGAGATCATTCCTTCTGGAAAGAGTCCCAAACCCAGCCTTGAGGATGAGACTGGCACCTTCGCACTGGCCAGGACCTTCTCTGCTAACTGGGGTCTGCCTCCCAGAAGGATGGCACCACGGCTGCTGCTCTGCCTGGCTCACCTCAGCCAGGAGCTAGATTCCTGCTGGTGGGAAATGCATCACCCACTTGCTGCACCCAAGCCCCTGGAGCTTTCGTTCTGCAGCAGTTTCCTCAGGAGCCAAAGGATCCCAAGTTTATAACTTGAGTTTAGAATGTATTTCAAACTTTTTTTTTCGAGATGGAGTCTCATTGTCACCCAGGCTGGAAGGCAGAGTGCAATGGCGCAATCTCGGCTCACTGCAACCTCCCTATCCTGGGTTCAAGCAATTCTCCTGCCTCAGCCTCTTGAGTAGCTGGGATTACAAGCACACAGCATCATGCCCAGCTAATTTTTGTGTTTTTAGTAGAGACAGCGTTTCACCATGTTGGCCAGGCTGGTCTCGAACTCCTGAACTGAAACGATCCAACCGCCTCAGCCTCACAAAGTGCTGGGATTACAGGCATGAGCCACTGCACCTGGCCTCAAACTTTTTGATTATGAAAATAACACACATAGAAAAGTGCAAAAGACATATATTTAAAATTCACCCAATAATAGTAAAACTAATGCCCAACCACACCTTAAAAACTGAGTTCCCAGCGATGATGGGATGAGAGGTCATGAATATTCACAGCTCCTCCTACAAACTGTTGAATATGTATGTTCAGCCAACCTGTTCAGCACGAAGTTCCTACCACCTAGTTAAGTACAGACCTAGAGCCTGCCAGAAGCCAGGGTCTCTCCCTGACCCCTGCCTCGTCCCCCACAGTGCCCACCATCTTGATTTTTACCATAGTCAATTCCTTGCTGTGTTTCATTTATTCACCTGCATATACATCCCTACACAACATACAGTATTCATAACATCTGTAAATTAAAAATAAAATCCTAAGTTCCCTGCCAACTGAATGGACCCCCTCTTGGCCAACAAAAACCTTAAAAGCTGAGTTCCCAGCCATTATGGGATGGGAGGTCAGACACGCCTCATTGTCGCCCTCCCTTTTGCTTGCAGTGTACACACAAGTGACCAGGATTCATGTTAAAGTAGAGGGCGTAAGACTGACAGAACAGACTCTGTGGCAACAAGATGCCACGTTGTAAACAGGACCCAAGGCCATTCCGGTTAAGTCCCACGCACTTACGCTTTAAAGAATCAACTATTTTCTAACTGCCGCAAGGTTTTTCTTTTTCTCTAGCAGCAAAACAAGCACTGACCATGAGATAAACAATAGTCAAGCAATTTTTAGCTCACCACTAGACAATGACTAACTCACCCCGCTGTTTCACCAGCCATAGCCACAGCTTTGATTGGACAAGAAATGGATTTCAGTAACTTTCTCCAGATGAGAAGACCAACCATCACAGACTGTTTCTGGCCAGTTTACAGAGGCTGCCTTGTCATACGTTACATACATGTGTGTTCAATACACATGCATCAGGACCGCCTTCATGAATATTCATAGCTCCTCCTGTAAGCTGTTAAACAGCCAACCTGTTGAGCACAAAGATGCTACCTCAGCCCCTCCTCTTTTTTGGGGGAAAAAGGGTTGGGGGGGAATGCAGTTTGGCTCTCCTTGCTCAGGCTGGAATGCAATGGCGTGATCTAGGCTCACCGCAACCTCTACCTCCCGGGTTCAAGAGATTCTCCTACCTCAGCCTTCTGAGTAGCCAGGATTATAGGATTACAGGCATGTGCCACCACACCCAACTAATTTTGTATATTTTTGGTAGCGATGCGGGTTTCACCATGTTGGTCAGGCTGGTCTCAAACTCCTGACCTCAGGTGACCTGCTCATCTCTGGCTCCCAAAGATTATAGGCGTGAGCCACTGTGCCAAGCCAGCCCCGCCTCTTTCAAAATGCCTGTCTCTGGGCTTTGCCAGAGTCTATGCTTCTCAGTCTGTGGGATGGCCACCTTGTAGATTCTAACCGTTATAAGAAATAAAGTCTCTTCTCTACATTTATAAGTTTGTGAATTTTTTTTTAGTTAACACATTTAAACCCTATTGAATGTGAAGTATGCAATTATCTTACATACAGATAATGAAAAATGATGCAGTTAAATGAAAAAAAACTTTCTTGATTAGAATTTTCATTTTATGCTTATTAAGAAAATTTATGATATGTGCGCACACAGATTTTATTATAGATTATGCTCATGCATGCATAAAAAAAAGAAAAGCAAAATATCCTGGTTCAGGTAGTCTTAAAACCTCTTCCTAATTGGGCTCCACATTCTCCCCATCACTTTTCACCCAGGTTGTCTGTGTCTGCGTTTCCCTTGCTGTATCATCCTCTATCCAAAAGGAGTGCTGGCCACTGAGAATTTCTTACCATAGTGCATCTCCACTGTTTCTGGGCTTCCTTGCAGACCGCTAACAGTCTTAGTACGAAAGTCAAGACCATTTGGCCTCATTAGCCAATAGGTGACATCATCTTTAAACTTCCAGAACCTCATCAAAGCTCATATAGAGAAGCTGCTGGGGTCGCTGTTGCATGTCTGCCTGAGTCCAACAGCACAACTGGGCTTTTTGGCAGTTTGAGCTGCGTAAGAATTTTTAAATTTGTTTTCATGTGTGTGTGAGGCATCAGCTTGAGTTAGTAAGTTACAAGTGATAAGTATTTTTTTTAATAACCATAAAATGAAAATTCTAATCAAGAACATGTCAGTTTAATTGCATTGTTTTTTCTTATTATTGGTACATAACCTAATGGCACACTTCACAATCAATAAGGTTTTAAATGTCGTGGATACAGTATGTTGTTTAGGGACACATATGCAATATTTAGGAGTGCACTGTGTTACAGATCATGAAGGCCAAGATAGCAGGTGCCTTCAGAGGTGAGGCAGGGGTTGGAGACACAGACCCCTGGGCTTCTGGCAGGCTCTAGGTCTTTACCTGGGTGGGGCTGAGTACTCACTTCTACTTATACCATGACTTATTGTAACCTTGGGGTTCAGGGGTGCCCTCAGTTCCCCTGACAGGACGTTTCTCCAGGTTCTTGGTCCAAGAATGAGAGAGGAAACCACGGCGCAGTGCACTCATAAAAGTAAATGCCGGACTCAAAAGTGTTTGTAGAAAGTGATTTTATTTAAAGCAGAGAGAGAAGAAGGAGAAGGAGAGAGAAACAGCTTACTCTCACACTGAGTGAGAGGAAGAAAAACCACTCTCACGCTGAGTGAGAAGGGTTCCCAGAGGGGGAAAACCAGAGAAGGAAAGCTCCTCTCACAGAGTGAGAGTTTCCGGAGGATGGAATCCAGGAGAGGAGACACGGCTTCCACACTGAGTGGTAGGGAACTGAGAGGGAGGGATGGAGTTTAGGAGAGGAAAAGCAGCTTCCACGAGAGAGGGCTCATGGAAGGGGACCCAAACATGGAGTCCCAAGGGGTGCGGAAGAAAGGGACTTTTAACCTGGGAGGAACCCCCACCTTCTCTAAGACCGCTGGCCAATGAAAGGAGTTCCTTAGAACTTCCTCTGGAGTGATTGACTTTTAGTTTCTTCCTATGCCCGTGAAATTCAAACATAACAGTTAAATCTCCCAGATAGAGAGAGATGGGAGAGGGGCATGACACTGGGAAGTTCTTGCCCTTAAAACCACGCGTCCTTATGGACCGGGAAAGAAAACACATTCCCTCATTATGGGTCAGGCATCCAGGCAGGGCTCAGCTAAGCAGTTCTCCTGCTCCCAATGGCATCGTCTGAGGTGACCGAGCAGCGATCAGTTGATGGACAGACTGGAGTTTAGATGGGCTCAGGGGTCCCAGAGAGAATGTTCCAGCAACAAGCAAGTCAAGAGATGTCAACTGAGTTCTGTTCCTTTTTTTCAAACCTACTATATAACTTTATACACTCTCCTATTCCCTGCAAATATTTTCAAGCTTGTCTTTATTAAACACAGTAAGATTTGTTTTATATTCTACGTCTGGTCATTTCAACATCTATGTCTTTGAGAATCCATTGTTAATTTTTCAGAAGGTGGGGTCGTGCTGCTGATTTTCATCCGTGGTATCTTATTTCGATTGTACTTGACCATCTTTGACTATGTGGAGTTATTGTACTTGGAAAGTTATTAAAAGAATAATCTTTGAAGGCGAAGGTATCCTTCAGAGAAAACTGGAAATACGTCTTAGGACACTATTTCATGTCCCCACAACTTCCACCTAACCCATAAAAAAATCACCTTCTGCTCTCCTCTTTCTGAAGGCTAGCTCTCTTGTGAGGCCATGTTGATGGAGCCTCCTCCTTCACCTTGAACACCTTGGGGTCAACAGGTAGAGCTGGCTATTTTCCCACTTGTCAGTGCAGATCTACAGCCATTTTTTTAATTCCTCATTAAAAAAAAATACTTGTTCCATCTTATTCACAGCGTTCAGCTTAATAACACCCTACACCTCAGAGAGTTCATCTCTCAAGCTATATTGGCACAAGATTTTTGCACCTGGTTCGCAATGTTCCTTTGCATCCAATTTCTGTCATCATTCAGAATGATATCAACATGTATTATTATTACATCCACTTTGAATTCAACATGACCATAAATGAGTCCTGTGAACCTGTACCCTCTCGTCCTGTATTTCCACTAACAGTGAATGTGTGAATGTCTCAGCTACCCACCCCAATTGCCCAACCTGGAAGCCCAGACAATTTCCTAGACAACTTTGCCTTCCAATTGGCACCAAGTGCTTCCTTAATATTTCTTCATCTATCCCTGTTCCTGTCCCCACTACCCCTGACTACGCTCAGCTTCCCCAAACCCCAGGCTTGGATGCTGGTAAATGACTTGAGTGACAGCTAGAAAACAGTTCATGGAGCTCCCAACATCCTCCCACCCAGGCCTCCACAGAGCCGGTAGGAACCACAGAAATGAGCAGTTACTTTCCCCATGATGCTGTCATTCCCATTATCACTGGAAAGCCTCTATTTTTTAATTTGTCCCATAGGACGACAGACCCCAAACGCACACTTACTACTAGTATAGATACACACATTGAGACCAGTGGTGACTGTAACAGCTCATGTAAACGCTGAGCTCCATTGCCTGGGCTCACTTTATGTGTGGGGGGAACGCAAGCCTCTAGAATCCCATGAGAACTGACTTCTACATTAGATGCTTTTCTGTCTCCTCCTGTGTCTCTCACATAAGACCCATCAGTGAACGCTATTAAGTTAACATGGGAGCAAGACTATATGATGAATCAGATGGAGGCCACGCATCTTTGTTGGGGGCTGCAAGGCGGTCGTGCTGCTGTCTGGAGGGGATCTGGCAACGGAGTCACTGGGCTCAAAGTTCACACCTTCCTAGAATCCCATTAGGGTCAGCCAGTAACGCTTGCAGAGCACTGACAAGTGCTGTGTCATAGGAACTTATAAAGCAGCAGCAACAGTCCAGGCGCAGTGGCTCACGCCTGTAATCCCAGCTCTTTGGGAGGCTGAGGTGGGTGGATCACTTCGGGTCAGGAGTTCGAGACCAGCCTGGCCAACATGGTGAAACCCAGTCTCCACTAAAAATGCAAAAATTAGCCAGGCATGATGGTGCACACCTGTAATCCTAGCTACTCAGGAGGTTGAGGCAGGAGAATCACTTGAATCCAGGAGGTGGAGGTTGCAGTGAGCTGAGATCATACCACTGCACTCCAGCATGGGTGACAATGAAACTCTGTCTCAAAAAAAAAAAGGCAGCAACAGCACAACAGCACAAGGCCCACACAATTACATCCCCAAGCCAAGGCCTGCACCTTCTCAAGCAGAGACCAGATGTTGGAAAGACTTCTAAACAGCCTGGCATCCCCGGAGCAACAGAATCCAGTGGCACATAAAAGTAAACCAAAGGCTAGTGTTTGAGGAAGCACGGTCACCACTAACAGCCCCCTATTCTCCTTACAGAAAGGGAGAAGAGATGACCAGCTAGGAGCTGACTCCGAGTACAGGCGGGAGAGCAAGGGCTACTTAAGGGTCTGAAGGCTTCTTTAGCATCTGTTAGCAGTTACGATGCTTCAGGCAGCACCACCATGAGTGGCTCACCTCTCAGAAGAAGAGGCAGGGCCCGTTGCTTGCATCGTGCACAAACTCAACAGGGCGGAGCCATTTCTTCACAGTGACAAAGCTATTGCTTCTTGAAGCTACTGCTTCATTTGTAAAACAGGTGGCTTTGGGGATGGAACTATTTCCCATCCATCAGCTGATAACAAATACTCCAAATACTTGACCTGGGTTTAACAATATTACAAATTATCTGGAGGAGATTTATGGCCTTGAGAGGTTAGAATTTTGGTAAAGCTAATGTATCTTGTTTTTGTTTGGGGGATAGGGTCTCACTCTGTCACCCAGACTGGAATGCAGTGGTGTGATCTTCGCTCACGAGAACCTCCAGCTCCCAGGCTCAAGTGATCCTCCCACTTCAGTCTCCCAAGTACCTGGCGTAAGGGTAGCCAAGAGAAGGGAGGTGGGGGGGGAAGCAGAGGGCTGGAGCTGGATGTATGGTGGAGGGTTACAATGCTCTGGTGGGGGGATCATGGTGTGGTTAGGGCGGAGGAAAATCATCCAGGTAAGTGGAAGAGGAGTCGTTAGCTGGGACTGTGGGAACGTGGCAGGAGAAGGTTTGTCAGCCGGTGCTGTGGGCAGAGTGACAGGAAGAGAGTCAGGTTAGGAGCCAGCCAGGAGGATTTGGAAAGTAGAGCAGGACCGGCAGAGCGAAGGACAGCTACGAAGGAGTGAAGAAAGCCTGAACATAAGGAATCTCAGACCGTTTCCCATTGCAGTGGCAAAAGTTGTCTAAGCCCTTAAGTACGTTGAAATCCAAAGTGCCATTTTCAGGCCATTGGGAACCATTGTCTAATTTGTACTGAGGCCAGACGGTATTACAGTAAAATATAATCCTCTTACGACGGACTTCTGAACGGAGGCCGAGAGCATGGAGATTAGCAAGACACACCCAAGGGGGGTAGTTGTGGAAGGGGAAGACTGACAGGCTCCCATAGCGAATGGGGGAGGGAGGGAGAGGAAGAAGAGACTGCAGATTGACAAGGACAGGGGGAGAGGGCGGCCCCTGTCCTACGGGCCTTGTCCGGGATTCGGGAGCTAGCCATCGAGTCAGGCGTCCGCCCCTGAAACAGAGGAACCGGAGGCCTGGAGGCAGGAGGAAGCCCTTGGACCAGCGCTGGGTCTTTTCGGAAGGCAGAGAGGGTCAAGGGTTCCGGGAAATGGCAACGATCTCTCTTACTCACCCCAGCAGAGGCTCTGATGGTGGATGCAGTCGCCAGCAATGGGAGAGTCTGGAAGAATTTCCGGGTCTTCGCAGGTTTGGGGAAGGGAAGGATGGCCTGGAGAGAAGGGATAGAAGAGGGAGGGAAGGAGAGAGAAAGGGTGAGAGAGTCCCGTAAGGACGCCCGGCCAGAACCTACCCCTCCGGGGCTTCGGCACCAATAATGTAAGGGCTGCTGAGAGAAAGGAGAACAGACCCAAAGTCAGGCAAGCAAGTTTATTAACCTGCCGAGCTGCTCAGAGGAGGCAGCAGCCCCAGCTTACAAGACAAGGGTTTTTATGGGCTAAGAGGGGCATAAGGGGATTTCAGGTAACAGGCACAGAGATAATTCGTTAACTTGCAGCAGACCTACAATACATCATCCTGTGGCTTTTGTGGTGGCAGTCTTTAAACAAAAAAGGACAGAAACCAGGATTTTTTACAGATCTGTGTCAATCAGAATTTACAGGTACGGATAACCAACGCATGGTTTTCCTGTCCTCCCTCGGGCTGCCCATGCTGTCCTGATAGCTGTAATTAGGCTTTGCTTAATCGTAGCAGCCTTGATGTGGCGCTTGGTAGGGGTTCAGCAATGCAGCTGCACAGCAGTCAGAGGGGGGTGGGGTCAGCCCGCGCAGAGGGGGTTTCTGACACAGCACAGCTCCATCCCTAACAACTAGGACTACAGGCACCCACCACCAGGCCTAGCTAATTTTTGTATGTTTTTGTAGAGATGAGATTTTATCATGTTGCCCAGGCTGGTCTCGAACTCTGAGCTCAAGCAATCCACCCACCTCAGCCAGCCGAAGTGCTGGTTTTGCAGACATGAGCCACCATGTCCGGCCTAATGCATCTTGTTTACAAGCACATGAGGTGTTACCTATCAATAAATCATCTAGATATATCCATATATGGACCCCTGATGTGGAGAAAGATTATTTAAGTTATTTTGTAAATGCCTAGATGTTATAGTAAGCAAATCTCTGAATCCCTGGGGGATGCATTGCCACTAATACGGAAAGCTAAAAGTATAGAAAAGAAAACTCAACATAAGTTTATTACTAAAATTAGTTAGGTCCCACAATAGGAGGATAAGACAGTAGCAGTGTTGAGTACTACAACTGTCAGACATGCCAAAAATATATTTCTATCATCAGATCTTGTAAAAATCTGTAAGCAAGCTAACCTTCTTTGTTAATTTTCCTTCCTTTTTCATAGGTAGTATAGAGAGAGTATTACAAGGCAAATGTCCTTTCTTCATTATTCTCTTTCTAATTCTCTAATTATAGGTTCTAGTCCCTGCATTTGACCTAGGGAGAGGATATAGCTTTACACATGACCATGATTTTTCTTTAGTGTAAGCTACAGCAGTGGGATCGATCAAAAGATGGTCTTACTGAGTCAAAGTGTTGAAGAAAGACTTCAGCAAATAGGGCTTCTTGTCTGATCAGAGATGGCTACACATCCTCCAGTTAGCCCAGCAGCAAGGCTTGCTCAAGGTGTCCCAACCTTATCACAAAACTTGTGGGGGCAAAAGAGAAACCAAGCCCCAAAGGGACACACCAATTCATGAACAGAGAATTATTAGATAATTTATTATTTAGAAAAAACCTGAATGCATTCAGGTAGCCAGCAATCTACACAGCTATGGCAGATTTTTAGCTCTGTTGTTAACGGAATGAAAGCTACAGTTACTATCACTTATTCCATTCTTAGTAAAAGCCAGAGGCTATTCAATTTGCAAGAGTAGTTACATTGAATTTACCCTGATGGCTTGATTTTTATAATCCTTTATCAGGCTTATGCCGATGTTCTGCTGTTATCATTCCTTACCTTTACCTCCTGTAACCGCCCAAAAGTGTACCCACACACACGAGGCCAGGGCATGCCCTCAGGAGGGCACGTTCAGTTTCCCACTCTCCACTTCAACTGCTGGCACCAGAATCTGCCCAGTTGCTCAAGCCGAAATCTCAAGAGTCTTCCTGGTTATCTCTTTTGCCACCCCATGACCCACATCCAATCCATCAGCAAGGAAAGAACCGGGAGCCAGAAAGGCAAGACTCTCTTCCCGTGGGTCCTTCCCTCCGCCTGCACCTGTCTAAGCCACCATTTCATTCCCTGCCCCACTTACAGCCTGGCGATGTTTCCCTTCCCCTCTGCCTTCCCTCCTAGCAGCTCCATCTTTCTTTCCCTAGGTTATCAACTATTTAATAAAGATTATAAAATCACTCTATCCTAATAAAATACTTTCTATCAGTCTTATTTACTGAGGCACCACAGAATTCTTGGTTTGGAAGGAAGTTTTGGTGCTTAAAAATTTTCAAAATCACTTCCAGAGGGAACCAGCAGCCCTCTTGTCGATAGCAGAGCCAGCTCCTCTTGCACGTGAATAAGGAACCATAAATGAGACACAGCACATCTGAGCAGTCTTTTAAAGGAAGCTTTAAAAATCATTTAAAATACTTTGGTTTAAAAAAAAAAAAAAAATTCAAATCAAGCATTTGCAACATAGCTAATATACCTCTGTGGTGACTTAGCATCTATAAGACCTAGTCTGACAACTGCCAGCCGCAGAGAATAAGTGTGAAGTTTCTCGGCACAAGTCACACAAGGCCCTCGCCAACCCACCTCTGCCTGCTCCCCAGGGCTCTCCTCCCTAAAGCCCTGTCTCTCCCTAAAGCCAGCAGGGGGCGCCGGGATTGTCCGCCCCAAATCCTTTCCCCCTTTTCGAAAACAGCAAGTGAACCCCAGACAGAAGGGCATGTGATGCCGTCCGACACATCTGGTGTGAGCAAAGGCTCCATTCTCCAGCGGGGCCGAGCTGGGACAGGGCAGGGGGCTGGGAGGGGGAGGAGGCGGCAGGATCCCACAGCCCCAAGCTGGGGCT